CCCCCCACCCCGCAGGTCTCCCTCCCGCCGCTTGTTTCTGTCTGAGCTTGTTTAACGCACACAAATACACACACGCGCGCCCATGCTTGTTCCGTCGCCATGTTCGATCACGCTTGCGGCCAGATTTTTGGTGTTGATGAATTAATTATTAAAAGCCCATCAGGTATTTTAACGTAGCTTCGGCCTCCCCTGCGTCATCTTTTTGCACTTTACTGTATTGGTGTTCTCGCTTATAAGTACTGGCTCTTAGGACAGGGGACTGTGCTATGAGCCTAGAGGAATGAAGAGGAGATTGGATTTATACCTCCCCCTTCACTACCCAAAGGAGTCTCAGAGCGGCTTACAGTCTCCTTTCCCTCCCCCTCCCCACAACAGACACCCCGTGAGGTAGGTGGAGCTGAGAGAGCTCTTGAGAGAACTGCTCGTGAGAGAACAGCTCTGAAAAAACTTGTGACTGACCCAAGGTCACACCAGCAGCTGCATGTGGAGGAGTGGGGAATCAAACCCGTTTATCCCAGATTAGAGTCCGCGTTCCTAACCACTACACCAGACTGGAGGCGTGGAGCCTGCTACTAACTCGTTGACTCTCCTCCAAGGACAAAAGCATGCATATTCCTGCAGACAAATGTCTATTTTGAGGGATAGAGTGTTGACGTGCGGATGTGGTGGAGCTGGATTTGGATCCCGCTGTCCTTGTCGATAACCTGCTAAAGTCTCACCCTCCTCCTTTCAATTTCCTACCTGTAAAATGGGAATTAGAATGATCTGCCTTGGAGGAGCTTGGCAGTGGTGAACAAGATTCAGATTTTGGAAGTGCATTGAAAAATGCTCTCAAAATGACCAAAAACTAAAACAGACCACACCACAGTACTGTAATTTCTCTCTCTCTTTTTTTAAAAAAGGCTTTATTGCAGTCGTCAGGCACAGGAAGACCGTGCTACCGTTGGCACACTGAATGTGTCTGCTTGTGAAGGATGCCGAGTGCAAGATGAGAGAAGCAGAGGGAAGGAATTATTAATGGTGTCAAGGTTGTGGTGACAACTTGAATGCACACAGTGGGGGAAGGAAAATGGGAGGCGTTATAAGAAGAAGAGGAGGAGGAGATTGGATTTATACCCCGCTCTTCACTCGGAGTCTCCTAGCGGCTTACGATCTCCTCCCCCTCCCCACAACAGACACCCTGTGAGGCAGGTGGGGCTGAGAGAGCTCTGAGAGAACTGCTCTTGAGAGAACAGCTCTGAGAGAACTGTGACTGACCCAAGGTCACCCGGCAGGCCTCATGTGTCTCAAAACGGTTTACAATTGCCTTCCCTTCCTCTCCCCACAGCAGACACCCTGTGCGGTAGATGGGGCTGAGAGAGCTCTTTCGAGGACTGTTCTTGAGAGAGCAGCTCTGAGAGAACTGTGACTGACCCAAGGTCACCCAGCTGGCTTCATGTGGAGGAGTGGGGAATCAAACCTGGTTCTCCAGATTAGAGTCTGCCACTCTAATTAAGGAAGGGTTTCTACATCCTGGGCTACATCTGTAGCAGAAAGAGGCAGCAGAGGGCTGAGAGTATAGCTCTTCATACGGGCCCGTTCAAATCTTCCCTGCGTTAATAACGTTGACACACACCCCTCCCCCTGGCCTGCAGTCTGAACTGGCATTATGTATGTGTCAGGGGCTTTCAAGTCACACCGCTGACTTATGGCAACCCCAGCAAGGGTTCTGCAAGTCATTAAGGAGAGGTGGTTTGGCGTGGCCTTCCTCTGCAGTCTTCCGCGGTGGTCTCCCCTCCAAGTACCGACCTTGCTTAGCTTCTGCAATTGGTCTATATACCATACAGTTCCACATCTCCTGAACTGACAGGATAGACTGCACTGTATTGGTCTACAGGTGGGTGTGGGGGGTTTCACCTTTGCTTCCCTATGTTAAAAACTCCCTGCAAATAGAAAACGAGCACCGCAAGGAAAGGAAAGGGGCAGGACATTGCCTCCTCCAGCACTGGCTTTCTGTGGCCAGAGAGTTTTGTTTTCTTTTTAACGAACATTCAAAATTAGACTCTACCCCCAGCAGTTGGGAGGAGAAGGAGAAGAGGAGATTGGATTTATACCCCGCCCTTCACTTGGCTTTCAATCTCCTTTCCCTTCCCCTCCCCACAACAGACACCCTGTGAGGGAGGTGGGGCTGAGAGAGCTCTTTCGAGGATTGCTCTTGAGAGAACTTGTGACTGACCCAAGGTCACACCAGCAGCTGCATGTGAAGGAGTGGGGAATCAAGCCCGGTTCTCCCAGATCAGAGTCTGCGCTCCTGACCACTACACCAAACTGCTGCTGTCTATTGTACCACCTCATTCACCTGCCTAAGACCTGGTTGACAGATGGCGTTGTGTAAAGTATGAAGAAGCGGAAGCCGCCACCAGTTTGGACTGCAGGCAATGGATTCCAGGTTCGAACGCCCCTCTGCATTCCAAACAAGCCCCTCCATCCGAACAGAAAACCCAGCACAAGATGGAAAATGTCTCTATCTCCTTTCTCTGCTTGTCGCGCCGGTTTTCTTTCCGCATAGGGGAGTGTCCTGTCACTCCATCCCCACCTCAGTTTCCTGCACGCGTCCGGCAGGCGGCAGTCGGGTCTTAGATACGGGTCTTCAAGCGGTCCGCAACGAACAAGTCACATCAGAGGCACCGTCGCCGTTTCGTGCTCTTTAAAATAAAAAGAGGAAGAAGGGAAGAGAAAATAGGTGTGCACAAATCCCGGAAGAAGGAATACATCGTGCATTTTTAGAAAAATATCGTTTCCCAAATTGTGGGTTAGGCACGAAGGTCTGGAAAAAAACGGGAGGCGGTGTTCCCACTAAGCTGTAGAGTCCTGTGAGCAAAAATTCTACTTTGTGAGCTACCAGCATTAAAGTTGTGAGCAGGTGATTTGGCTACTGCATAAATTAGTGTGTTCTGGAGCCATCCCTTCCTGAGCTGAGACAAAAATGTGTGAGCCGGAGGCTAAAAAACGGTGAGCTCTAGCTCACATTAACTCAGCTTAGAGGGAACACTGGCGGTAATTGTTCATTAATTGTTCTGCACAGGGGTTATTGGTGCGAAGTAGGCCTTGCTTCAGGGCCAAGAGGGCAGCAGCCACCCAGGTGGGCATGAGCTGTGGTTTTCTCTCAGAAGACACTAATTGTTTGTGATGGGTCTCCTTGACTCTCGGAGCTGACCTCACCCTCAGAATCCACCAGGGGAAAACTGACAATGAGGTGTTATTTACAGGCCGCAAACTGACTGTTGTTCGATATGCTTTCATTCGTGAGGAAAGTGCCGAATGGAGAATGGATTTTCTGCCTCAGAAACAAGGTGGGTGTATTTTTTTTTTAAAAAATAACCTGTCCTTTAAGCTTTTTCTCCCGTCCTCACTTCCCAGGCTGACGCCAAAAGTAAGCGTCATGTTGAATATCTGAAAAGTTTTAAGGCCATTTCTGACATAGCAGCCGTTGCTGACAAGTAATGTTTTAAGAACATTAGAGAAGCCATGTTGGATCAGGGCAGTGGCCCATCCAGTCCAACACTCTGGGTCACACAGTGGCCAAAATCCAGGGGCCATCAGGAGGTCCACCAG